AGAATGGTGCTACCGTGGAAATTCATCCCAGTGACAGTCCAGTCACCACAGCCACATTCACCCCAGGACAGTCATGCCTATGTCATAACCCAAGGCCCCCTTGCCCAGGTCACATCCTGTGGTCCTCAGAGAACCACATGGATGCTACCACCTGTCACCCCATCAGGAGCTCAGCCCTTCTATGATACCAGAAAGATCCCCAATTTAGTGAAGAACGGTAACAGAGCCTTTTAAAAACCACGTTTTACAGCAGACAGAGGGGCCTGGGTACCAGACACCAGCTCAGAAGTTAGGAAGGTTCAGCCCTTCCCACTCTGCTGCTTCCTTGTCCTACCTAGACCTTAGTTCAGGTGGGTGAGTGGCCCCCTTTCGAGGTGAAGACACAGTGGGAGGACGGAAGCCACACACTGAGGAAGGTGGGAAGAAGGCCTGGCACTCGACTGAGTGCAGAGCCACCATACCTATCCAGGCTTTTAGGATTCCCCCTAGCTAGGGAAGGGCCATGGGAGTCAGGCCTCTCACGGCCACACACAGCTCTTCTTCAGCACAGTCGGGAGCAGACTTACAGTCTTGGTCTCAAGACTCCGCCTCAGTAGCATAATAAATGCTGTCTTCCCCATGTCTTCCTTGGCAGGCAGTCCTTTCTCCCACCATGTAACACACAAATCCTGGATGGAATGTTGTAGTTTTTGTTCAGATTCAGGTAATGCATATAAAATACCTAAAGCAGAGCACATCAATTTCCTAATTAGTAAAGCAAATTCTTTTTAATTCTGATTCAATAGTTTAGAGTATTATGACTTGAATATTACTATAAAGCTTTGCTAAGCAAAAATATTAGTTTACATTTTACTAGCCAAAGATTTATATATATTATTTACTAGGTCTATTGAGTCTGTTTTTATAACAATTGTCAAACAATTTATTAATTAACAAGAGACTCAAAAGAACAGAGAACTTTAGAACTAGAAGCCTCAAAGAGATGATACTACCCAAACCCCTGAGTTTAGAAAGGCAGATCTAGGGGGGAGATAAAAGTTCAACAACACCCAAGGTAACCCTAGTAACACAAGAACCAGTCATGTTCACTGAAGCTAATCCATTACAAACATCCCCCAATGTGCTGGCCTCAAATTTTGCCACACAGAAAAAAAATAGTAAAAGCAACTATCATAATGAACACAAAAATTGCAATGCTTTTATTAACAGAAAAGCTCAGTAATCAGATTAGTAATGCTAATAATGTGCTTATAATCTATAGACATCTGAATGCCATTATGCTAACGAGAAAATTCCTGAATTAATCAAGAAGTTGGTAGCAACTATGCTATTATTAGCACTAATCATTTTACCAGTTATTTGCAGACTGTACAAATAAACTGCTAGTAAAATTCACAAAGTATCTGACAGCTATTTTTACATAGATTAGGGTTGACTTTTAGTAAGATGCTGTATTTCAAGAATTCAGAACAAAACAGCATGCTACTGAACATATATATAAATTTAAGTAACTCTAAGAATGAGAAGTTTGATGAGAATCTGTCACATGAAACTAATTAAAATCACACAGTGTAAGATGAGGATACTTAGAGCTTTTTCATAAAAATCATTACATATATTTAGTTTTACCTCTTTTATATTTAGTATAATTTTATATAAATATTTTACAATCAGATCTTTGCACTAATTCAGACTAGTACCCTTTTTTATTTTTAAGAAACAGAGTCTCGGGGGGCGGAGCCAAGATGGCAGACTGCAGCCAGCTTTTGGCAGAAGCTCCCATCCAGAAGGAGGCTTGAGGGACAAAGTTGAGCAAGTTGGCTGATGGTTTGGACCAGAGCCAAGAGAGAAGACTGAAGAGCACACTTCAACCTGAGGTGAGCTGCGACCCCCAAAATACAACCAAAAGGTACAAAATCCACCACCAAGCAGACGGGAGTCCCCTCCCCCACAACAAGGGCTTGCAGTTTACCCCATGCAAACAAGCGAGCAAAGTTCAAACTTCCTCCCACCCTATCCCACGGGAGAGATCCCCTAAAAACTGGACCTCCTACCCCTGCTGGCATGCCACGGCACCCTCCGGCCAGGCATAAATCTGTAAAACTGTATAAAACTGTATATATTCCCCACCTGCAACACTGAACTCTGAGGAGTCCCCACCTACCCACTCCGAGGTCTGGAGGTTTGTTACCTAGAGTCCAGATTCTTGGGCATCTCCTTGAGAGAAGTGGAGGGGGAAGGGGCTGGTGATATTCTGTGCTGACTGCGGCACAGGTGTGAGGAGAGGAGAATCGGCTCAGGGGACACCAATACAGCAATAGTGGCATCCTGAGCTGCAAACTGACGCCATTCCAGCCCCATCTCTCTGGGCAAACAGAGGTTCTGGACAGCCACAAGCAAAACTCAGAGAACTTTTGTAAGTAAAGCACCAGCTCTCAGGGTCTAATACTTCTGAGACAAAGGCAGTGGGAGGGCAGAGGCTAGAATTGACACCTGAGTGTAAACTGCTATCTGTCTGCTGCCCAGAGCTGAATGCAACCTCTGATTTACAGAGAAATCTAGCTGGACAGAAGCCTAATTTAAACACGTTAGGCCCTCCTGCTGAACTCAGATTTCTGGCTGATTTTGCCAGTCGTCAACCCCGGGAGCAGTGGCCTACTGGAGTGAATAGGGTCACAGACCTGGGGGATTACGAGTGACTGGGTGCAAGGTGGGGAAGGAGGTATTAACCTTCCCAGACTAACCCATTTTCCGGGTGGGTCCCTTTGCCCTCACGGAGCACTGGAGCAAGTTATATCTGAGCTGCAAGCAGACCCCTCTTATCTATCTCCTAGAAACATTTGAACTCTTCCACCTGAAACGGGTACTGACTGGGACAACTGATTTGAACCCCTTAAACCTGGCAGACTACCCAAAGACTATTCAAAGGGGCACCCCGGGTGTATGGTTGAGGGAAGGTTTGAACAATATAAAACTGTATATATTCCCCACCTGCAACATGGAACTCCGAGGAGTCCCCACCCACTCACTCCGAGGTTTGGAGGTGTGGAGTCCAGATTCTTGGGCATCTTCCTGGAAGAAGTGGAGGGGGAAAGGGCTGGTGCTGTTCTGTGCTGACTGTGGCACAGGCGTGAGAAGACCAGCTCAGGGGACACCAATACATCAACAGTAGCATCCTGAGCTGCAAACTGACGCCATTCCAGCCCTGTTTCTCTGGGCAAACAGAGGTTCCAGACAGCAGCCACAGGCAAAACGCAGATAACTTTCATAAGTAAAGCACCAGCCCTCAGGGGCTAATACAGCTGAGAGAAAGGCAATGGGCCGGCAGAGGCTAGAATTGACACCTGAGTGTAAATGGCTATTTGTCTGCTGCCCAGAGCTGAATCCAACCTCGGACTTGCAGAGAAATCTAGCCGGACAGAAGCCTAATTTAAGCACGCAAAGCCCCCGTGCTGAACTCAGATTTGTGGCAGATTTTCCCAGTCATAAACCCTGGGAGCAGTGGCCTACTGGAAGTGAATACGGTCACAGACCTAGGGTATTACCAGTGACTGGGTGCAAGGTAAGGAAGGAGGTATTAACCTTCCCAGACTAACCCATTTGCCAGGTGGGTCCCTTTGCCCTCACTAGAACTCTAGCAAACCCAAAACTGCTTGCTAGAGTTGCACGCCTCACGGGCGGCAGAGGAGATCCCTGCCCCAGGATCCTGCTATGGGCAGGCCCAGAACTGCTTGCTAGTGCCACGGGCGTCCTGTGGGCAGTAACGAAGGAGTCCTCCATTCCCGGTACACACAAAACAGCTTGCTAGAGACACGCCCACCCCACGGGGGGGGGGGGCAAGGGGAGGAGTTCCCCGCTCCAGGCTCCTAACCTGGGTGGGCCTAGAACTGCTTGCTAGAGCCACACATTGCCTGCAGGTGGCGGTGGAGGGGTCAACCACTCTGGGCGGGCCCAGAACTGTTTGCTCAAGCCACGTACGTCCCATGGACAGAGATGGAAGAGTTCCCTGCTCCGGGCTCCCGCGCTGGGAGGGCACATATTGCCTTGCTAGTGCCGCACTCGTCCAACGGGCGACAGTGAAGGACACCTCCGCTCCCCTGCAGCTACTCTGGCCGGGCTGAACTAGGACTGATCTGGTCGCTCACATACCCTGCGCTACCGCTGCCATTCCCCCACCCCCTGGCTGCTCCAGGGTGCTGAACTAGGACTGATCTAGCTACTACAGTTCCCCTGTTCCACCAGTTGCCCCGGAGGGGCCAAACTAGGACTGATCCAGCTGCTGCCAGTCTACTGCCCCCTGCTCACCCCGGCAGGCTGAACGAGGTCTAATCCGGCCACGCACACTCCTGTGCAGCTGCTCCCGTTCCACTGCACCCCCGTTGCCCAGGCACCCGAGAACTGGGAGAAGACAACAGACACACTCTGCCTGTCTCTCTGGGCAACCAGAAGAAGCCACCAACTGAACGGTTCCCCTAAGGCCTCCAAACAAGGTAAACTCAGCATGAGGCGGAATCAGAGGAAAAACTCTGGCAACTCGAATAACCAGAGTAGACCAACTCCTCCAAGGGAAAATGGGGCAGACACAATTGAAGACCCCATCCACAAGCAAATGGCTATGATGTCAGAAATCGAGTTCAGAATGTGGATAGCAAATAAGATTAACAGAATGGAAGAAAAGAAGGAATTAAGAATTCAAGAAATTATTCAAAAGATATC